GATTTTTGCAGATGTCAAGGGTATGGAGCTTGAGATGGGGAGGCCAACCTAAATGATCCAGGTGAGCCTGCCCAATTTATTCGTGTGAATCCTGAAGAGAGGCGCTCCTTCCTCAGCTGTTCAGAAGGAGAGGGAGACTGGCGGGCTCTGATCATGGAGGAAGGGGCTATGAGCAGAGGAATGCAGCCAGGGGCCAGGAGAGGGATTCTCTGAGAGCCTCCAGGGGAACAGAGCCTGCCCACACTTTCATCTCAGTTTACACTTCTGACCTGCAGAACCGTAAGATCATAAATCATGGATTTTTGCAGTTCTAAACTACCACATTTGCAGTAATTTATTACAGCAGCAATAGAAACCTAATACACTTAGGTTAGCAGTAACCAAAAACACCAAAATTACTTTTCTTCACAAAATCCATTCTATGTTCGGCGGTGCACATGGTGAGGCACTATTGAAGGGAAGAGCCAAATGATGTAAGAATGTAGTCTGCTCCCCCAAATTCTCAAATAGACAGGGGGATCTTTGTAAAAGATGTAAATGAGCGAGGGAGCCCTGGTGGCTTTTGGTATCTTATCTCACTTTGTTTTTAAGAAGGCAGAGGGTCCATTTCAAGCTGGGGTGCCTGAGGGTGCTAACACCATGCCTGGGGGTGCTGTTCCCAGAAGACAATTTGAAGAGGAAACCTGGGTGAAGTATCAGTGCTAACTGACATTCATGTTTGTTTGTTTGTTTTGTTGTGGTTATATATATGTGTGTGTGTGTGTACACACATATATATATAAATTTTCCATTGTCACCATCTTTAAGGATGCAATTCGGTGGCATTGATTAAATTCATGATGGTGTGGTACGAGCACCATGATCTATTTCCAACACTTTCCATCATCCCCAACAGAACAATATTCTACCTATTGAACAATAACTCCCGACACCCCTCCCCCAGCTCCTTGCAGCCACCACTCCACTTCCTGTCTCTATGAATTTGTCTACACCAGGGACCTCATGTAAGTGGAATCCTGCAGGGTTTGTCCTTCTGTGACTGGCTCGTTTCACTGAGCACAATGTTCTTATCCATGTTGAGGCACGGGTCAGTGCTCCCTTCCTTACAGCTCATGCTCCATTGTATGGATGCACCACGTTTTGTGTACTCATTCATTGGTGAGGGGCACTGGGCTGATCCTTCCTCTCGGCTATGGTGAATACTGGCTACGGCTGCTGTGAATCCTGGTGCACAAGCATCAGACATTCCCATTTTTAGTTCCAGGGACATGCAGTGCCTTCTCCCCCAGAAGGGTTGAAAGCTCCATGTCCCTGGGACATTATGAATGGCACATCTCCCTCCCCAAGGGGATGTAGTGTAGCGAGATTGATGGGGGAAGTTTAGGCACTGGCTGATTAAAATGTTCATAGAATGACTTATGGACTCGGAATTGCGGAGTTGGACGCACTTGAGTTTTTTAGTTTTTTTGATAATTAGTAGTGGAATTTTAAGGGCTGTTTTTTGTTTATCAGTCTCTCTAATTTCTTATCAATCTCACTACATTTCAAGTAGACATGTAAAAATTTAAGGCTAGAGGGCTGAATCAGGCCTAACCGATACAATTATTTTTCTAGTGTCCTTAGGAGTACATCTTGTCAGTCATTCTGTTCAGAGACCGTGAGAAAACCACTGGTCTGGAACCCCAGATGTTCTGTGCAGTCCTTGGCTTGTTTTGCCTGGATACCAGAAGCAGCATTTGTGCGTGGGCCCAGCAGTGGTATCTGTCCCCGCACCGTCTGCAGGGCTGGCCCCGGGCCCAGGTCCTCCTACTGCCGGGGAGTAGTGGCCGCAGCTCCAGGCTGAGGTCCGGCTCTGTCCACGGGGAACCACGCGTGGGTGCAGGCACTGGGTCTTGGATCACACATGCGCACTCCGAGCACAGCGCATTACTCTTTTTTCCTGCCCAGATGACTTTTTAAATAGAAAAATAACCCTGACTCTAACGTGTTCTCAGCCCGTGAACAATGGATACTTGCTGGACAAGGGGCTGCGGGCCCTATCTGCAGGCAGCTTGGGCCTGTGGGGGAGGTTCCAGTGACTGCAACTCCCCGGGGGCTGGGAACACAGGATCCCAGCCTCCCAGTCCTACCTCCTTCCTTGGAGGGAAGGGAGGGCTGTGACCCCTTCCTGGGGGGCTGTGAACTGCTCCCTCCCAGGTCCCTTCCCTCTTTCACTCTCCCCTTGGAGGACTAGGGGTCCGCAGGGGCAGGGGATCACATAGGGTGGCACCCGTCACTACAGAGGGGTGCAGGGTTGCAGTAGCGGGGGCTGGGGTGCCTGGGGCACTCAGGAGCCGCGCGGGGGCGAGTGCACTGGTGCGTGTGGGTCGAGGGAATGGTGACAGCGGAGGCGGGAGCTGAAAAGGCACGGGGGCGGCCAGGGGACCCTGCGCTGGAACTGCCGGCCCTCGCGCGCCCCTCGCGGGCCCCCCCGGGCCCCCCGCCCGCCCGCGGCTGCTGCCGTCAGAGCCGCCTGCGTCAATGCTGCTCGGTGACACACACAGCTTTTTTTCTTCTGCTCCTTTTTCTCAATGAGAGGAGCCTAATGGGATTTTTATTATCAGACTCATAAATCAAACCGTTAAGCCGTCACGTCTGGCACGTGGACAACACCCCCGCTCCCCGCCCCCCGCGGCAAATGGAGGGGGCTAGAGCTGCGTTTTCCCCTTTTCAAGAAAATCTTCAAATATTTTATCTTTATGTTTTGAAAGTCGCAGCAATAAACAGAGCTCAGCTTGCTGTGGCTGGTGCAGCTCTACACGGATGCAGAGCTGGTCCTCCCGTTCCCTGGAAGTGGTTTTGCAAAGTTGTTGGTTTTGCAAAGAAAAAAAGGGTAAAAAATGGGGTTTGCAGGCAAATAGGTTGGTTAGAGAGAACCGACAGATATTTCAAGCTACTGCAACATAAATCTATGTAAACATTGCATCAGTGGGGGTTGTGGGCACAGACTTTGGAGCAGCCCTGCCCTGATGCTTGTGTTACTGACACAAAACAAACCCCCAGCTATGAATGCAAATCAAGGAGCAAAGACGTCAGCAACTAAGGCGATCTGGAGCGCTAGGAATCCTGAAAGCTTCTGCATTCTCATGGCTACTTGTGTGTAGATTTCTAATAAGATAAATCGGCACTGGTGTATCTAATTAATGGTTGTCCTCCAACAAGCCACTGGACAGCACTTATTAGCCATGGGAGATGGGAAGCCAGGTGAACCCCCAAAGGAATCTCAGTGCAGCCCCTTCCTCATTTTGGTCAGAGACTCAACCAGAGTGTGAAAGCGAAGCAAAGTCAAAGGGGGTCCAGGGACTAAGCTGTTGGGGCAAGGACCCTTGGAGAGGGAGGTCCCAGTTTCCAGAGTCAGACACAGAAAAATATGTTCCACCTCTTGGGAATTGCCTCTTGTGAGCAGCCATATATATTCACGGGGTCATCTAACAGGGAACTGTGAAGGGTCTGCAAGCCCGTCATCTGGTCACTCTGAAGCCAGGTCTCCAGGTTCCCTGATGAAATTATCCTGCCTGTGATGGGCGAGTGTTCCGGGAACCTTTGGGACAGCCTTTGCTGGCTCGCAGCTCATCAAAACTTCACAGAGCTCAAGGCATGGTCTTCAATTAAAAGCCTGGACCACATGTCAGGTGGGCAGAGGGCTACCGCTTTAGGGTAAAGTGGCTACAAGGAGAGTGGCCTGATATTTTGCATATATTCATGATCATTTTAATTTCCTCTTCCCAGCCTGTGTTCTGCATTTCTCCAGATGTCTTCAAAGGACATATAGGATGCCCAGGAGCAGAGCGGTTGGGTCTGTTCTTTCTAATTCCAGACCTTTCTGGTCTTGAGTCATGGTTTTCTCAGGGTCCAGTGAAAACAGCAGCGCTCCGGAGCTGCAGACCCAGGCTGGGAGCTGCCGCAGGGGCGCACTTGTCGGCCAGTAGCCACCACCTAGGATCATTGCCCTGCGCAGTTGGACGGCTTCCACGCATCATCTAGTTCTCACTGCATTCTTATAGCAGGACAAGTTCTCTGGATTTGTGTGAACTTTTTAAATAAGAGTTAATAAGTCAATGATTGCCAGATGAGAGAGGCAGCTTATGTGTTTTTAAGAAGCATCAAACCCGCCCCCCACCTCCATATTCTTCCACCCCAGCAAAGAAGGAGCCAGGAAGGCACTGCAAGGGGGAAGGGAGGGGCGGGAGGATCCGTGAGAGGAAAGATAAATATTTGCATCTTCACTTGTGTGCATCATTAGGGTGACCCGTGGGTGCCAAAGATGATGTATTTTATACTGAACATGGTATTGGCAATTTTGGGGTGCGCAATGAAAAAGAAATTGGCGTGAGCACATCTAGCCTTAAGACACGATTTCAAATATAACTTCCGTCATTCACATCTAGACCCATATGCTGATATGAGTAATAACTGTGCTAAGCAAAAGTAGATTAGGTGCAATAAATATAAGACCTATATTCCCATGTTGATTGATGGACTTCAGTGGAATATTCCATTTTAGCAACCGATATATTGCATAAATGAGTTAACGTTGGTCCCATTGCAAAATGATTTTTTATACAGAATTAGAGAGGCTGACATCAGGAATGCTGCTAGAAAATTATTAGCTCACTTTTTACATCCAAGGGGGTGAAATGATACACTTTGGAAATTTGTACAAATAGACAAGTGGATGGATGTCGATGTCAGTGGGGAGAAACGGGGGGCCAGGTCCCGTTTTGAGGAGAGGAGATGGGCCCGGCGGGGGCGGAGGAGCGGGTCGCGCCGCTGACATTAGCCAAGGACAAGATGGGGTGGGCGCCTGCCGGTGGCCGACTCCGCCCCTGCCTCTCAGGGGTGCGCGTCATCCGCGCAGCCGCGGATCCTGGCCCGGGGAGCCACCGGTCCAGCCTTGCGCCTGGGAGCCGGACTCGGAGACGTCCACCCGGTGGAGAGACGCGAGGGAGGCGTGCAGACAGGGGCTGCTCACACGGAGAGCCCGGGAAGCCGGCAGGGCGCAGGCGGGGCGGGTCCCGGGGCAGAGCAGTGACCATCTGCGTCCTGCATAGCGCTGCCACCAGGAGAGGAAAATCCACTGGAGGTTGTGCTGTGTGCGTTCTCCGAGAGGGAAGCTCAGTACGGGCACTCCCTTCGTCCGCTTCAGGAGGACCGCACGGTGTGTGGGGGTGTGGTGTGTGCGCGCGCGCGCATGTGCCTGTGTGTGCATGTGTGTATGTGCGTGTGTGCGTATATGCGTATGTGCGTGCGTGTGTGTGTGTGGCTCGTGCACATACGTAAGCACACCCTCGGTACATAGAAACTCACAGAAACATACAGTAATCCTGTATAAAGATTATGAGTCTAGAAAACATATACTGCCTGTCATTTTTCTCGACTGTCTCTGTGCCTTCTAGATATTTCGGTGTCCTCCGCGTGCTTCATTTTTATCAGACTCCTGGGTGTGTGCAAGGAGGGAACGCAGGCGCGGAACTCAGGCGCGGAAGATGTAGTTTGTGCATTAGGAAGCCTCCGTTGGAGCGCCACTGACGTCTGCACCTCTGCGCTAGGCTCTGCTGCAATACATCAGACTGACTGCAGGATCGCTGCCTCTTTGCTCTAATATATGTGCACTGCTGGTTAGGAAAATCCTCAGCCATACCGTGACTCTAGCTAGCTAGTCAATGTATTTAATTTTGTTAATTGAAAGGAAGGACTAAGGAGGGAAAAGAATGCAAAGGAAACATGAAAAGATTTTACAAATTTTTAAATGCTTATTTTTCCAGATGGAAGGTTGAGACAGTACGAATAGAGACACTTCATGGCTGCAGATGTTGATGCTTTTGCTAAATGAACAGCCCAACTCAGTTCTGTGAAATTGCATCATATTTCTTTTCCAGAAGACACAAATCTTTTGACTGTTGTGCTTCTCTTTGTATATGTTACTGTTAAAAAAAATGTGAGGAAAAAATACTTTAATGTGATGTCAATTCTTAGATTTCATCCGTCTCAATAATTTTTGCAGGGCCGCATCACTTCACTTTCAGTGTGATGACATTTGCTTTTGAATGTATTGTCTTGTGTTGAGGTCATGGAAGATATGAATGAGGCAGGAAGATCGTTACAAATGAACCATAATTAATATCTACATAGTTCTCATGGATTGTCAGGCAGCCCCCTAGAGTGCTGATTTGCTAGCGAGCTGTGGGGGTCACTCTGCAGGGGGACCGGGCAGGCCTAGAAGTAACTGTAGATTCCCCTTTGAGAACTTGTCACTGGGCTTGGGTATCTCAACATTAATACTCTTGCATGAGTAGAAGCAGCAGAATGTCCTGGAACCTCAAGGAGGGTTTGGGGGTAACAATGCCAACATGAGGAAACCACTGTAGAAGCAGAATGGTGGAGTTCTGTCTTGGGACAGTATTAGCACCTGTCGGGGAGTGGACGTTGTGCCAATTTGCTAGGGTTGCCCTAACAAAGTCCTACAAAACTGGGAGGCTCAAAACAAAAGAAATAGCTTTTCTTACAGTCTGAAGGCTGGAAATCTGAAATGAAGGCGTCAGCAGGGCCAGGCTCCCTCTGAGACCCTGTGTGGGTCCCCTCCAGCTTCTTCCAGCTCCTGGTCCTGGCAGACAATCCTGGCGTTCCTCGGCTTGTAGCTCATCACTAATCCCTGCCCTGCTGTCAAGGCTGTCTTCTTCCTGAGTGTCTCTGTCTCTGACTCTTGTCCTCTTCTTAAGGGGACACCAGTTGTATTGGATTGGAACCTGCCCAAATGACCTCATCTTAACTTGATTACATCTGCAGATATCTTATATTACAAATAAGGTCATATGGACAGGTGCCCATCTTTTCAAAGGACACAACAGGACCCACGACAGATGTTTTGGGATTGTACTTCTGCTTCAGCCAGTGAGGAACTTGTCCTGAATTTCTCAAAAGAGGTGATGAAGAGTAACAGAGGGAATTGGGCCAGAATTTCCACACCATCTAGCATTACAGTGTTCCGTGGCTGATGGCATTAGCAGGTCAGCATTAGCAGCTGGAAGGAAAGCTGATGGGAGCCAGGACTGGAGGGGCGTCGACAGGGCAGATCTGCGGTGGTGAGGGTGGTGGCTCTCAGGCCGCCAAGAAAAACACCAGGAGCTGCAGGGCCCATGCCAGGGGAAGGAAGGGGTGTTGTGGGTCTTTAGGGCCTAGTGTTTCCCCAGATGGGGACCCCAGCCCACTGCTTTTCTTGTACCCGTTCCTCCTCTCCTTCTTCAGTGACGAGGTCTGGGGAAGCAAGAATGGATGTCCACATAATGAAGCACCAAGTTAATGGAAGGGATTGTGGATTTACTGAATCTTTCACTTCAGCCCTATGTGTGATGCACTGTGTCGGGACTTCATGGGCAGGTACAATAGGTGTTAGCTTATAATAATAACTCACAGTTAAAGCACAGCCGGGCCAGTGATATTTCCAGCTGTATTCCACAGGATCCTAGTGCTCAAACCAAAATATTGCAAAACTGAGGGAACACTGTCAAAAATAAATACTTTGTCTTCTTCAGTTCTGTGTATTTGCTGTGTGTGTGCATTTTGTAAGGAGTTTCATTTGGGGAAAGGATTGAACAAATTAAATAATGCATTTATTCATTCAACAAATAGGTGAGCTGGGCATGGTGGCTCACACTTGTAATCCCAGCTATTTGGGAGGCCAAGGCGGGTGGATCACCTGAGGTCAAGAGTTCGAGACCAGCCTGGCCAACATGGTGAAACCCCATCTCTACTAAAAATATCAAAAAATTAGCCAGTTGTGGTGGTGCATGCCTGCATTCCCAGCTACTAGGTAGGCTGAGGCAGGAGAATCGCTTGAACCTGGGAGGCAGAGGTTGCAGTGAGCCGAGATTACACCACTGCACTCTAGCCTGGATGACAGAGCAAGACACTATCTCAAAAAAAAATGTAGATCCCTGTGCTTCAGGTACTACTAGAAGATATACCCACAAAAGAAATTAATAGTAATTCCTGCAAGTGTGGAACTACCATTCTATTGGGTGAGCAGCATATAATTAATGATAACAAATGAGAAAAATAGGTACTACGGTGATAGAAGGTGACCTATGGCTCTGAGAAAAAGCAAACACAGCAGGATGATGGGAGATTAGGGCCATGAGGGTAGGCTCCATGGAGACGAGGCATTCAGCAGAGTTGGAACTGGTGAAGGAGTCCGCAATGTGGTGTCTGTGTAAAGAAGGTTCTGGGCCGAGGGTTGAGCTGCTGTGATGACTTGATGGTGAGCATGGGCCCAGCGTGTTAGAGAAATGGCAAGGAGGCCAGAGTGGCCAAGGCAGAGGGGGCAGGAAATAGAGGCCAACACCCAAGGCAAAGAGCAAGCCCTGCAGGTGCTTGCAAGGATTTTGGATTTTACTCTGAGTGAAATGGAGAGCCAGCCGTTCCTTGGTGGCGCAAAGCATGACATGGTATGACTTGCATTATAGAAGGATGTTTCTGGCCACAGGGAGGAAAATGGACTGGAGGGGCAGGTGGAAAGCAGGGAGACCCAGGATGAGGCTACTGCAGGAATCCAAGTGAGGCATGATGTTTGCTCAGAACAAGGCTGTAGCAGTGGGAATGGTAACATGATGTCGTATTCTGAGTCTATCTTGAAGATGAAGCTAATGGGATGTCCTATGGGGCATCATGAAATAGAGGAGTCAGGAATGACTTTGAAGAAATGAAAGCTAAGCTTGAACATTTTCCTAGTCCATCTGGGCAGCTACAACAAATACTTTAGACTGGGTAATTTATAAACAACAGATATTGCTCACAGTTCTGGAGACTGAGAAGTCTATGATCAAGGCACCAGCAGGTTCGAGGTCTGAAAGGGCCTCTGTGCTTCCTAGATGGTGCCCTGTTGCTCTGTCCTCACATGGTAGATGAAATGAAAGGGAAAAACAGGCTCCCTCAAGCCTCTTTCTAAGGGCACTAACCCCATTATAATCACCTCGCAAAGTCCCAACCACTTAATACCATCACTTTGGCGGTTAGGATTTCAACATATGAATATGAGAGGGACATACACATTCAGACCATAGCAAACATTTTAGTAAGGAACTGAACAATATGAAAAGTAACACACTGCTGGGCACAGTGGCTGACATCTGTAATCCCAGCGCTTTGGGAGGCTGAAGCAGGAGGATCACTTGAAGGCAGGAGTTTGAGACTAGCCTCGGCAACATTACAGATCCTGAGTCTACTAAATTTTTTCTTAAAAATTAGCTGGACAGTTCCACCAAGGCCCATGCGAAGCTGCCTACTACGGCCTCCAGTGGGGTCCCAGTGAGCGCTGCTGGCTCGGCTAATGAAACTCCCGAAATACCAGACAACGTGGGAGATTGGCTTCGGGGCGTCTACCTCTTTGCCACAGATAGGAATGACTTCCGGAGGAACTCGGTACTAAATTTGGGACTCTTTGCTGTGGGAGTTTGACTGGCCAGGAACTTGAGTGACATTGACCTCATGGCACCTCAGCCAGGGGTGTAGCCAAGTAGACAAATGGAATCCTGTGCTGAACCCGAATCTCCCAAAAAGCAGCCTACAATCTGTGACCACCACAAGATGTGCCCTGATGGCAGCTGAAGTTTGATTCAGATGGGCACTTTTCTTCCCTCTCCCTGCCTAGTTTCCTTTTGTTCCTTGAGTCCACGCAGAACTCCATTCTCTGGTCAGCAGACAGGCTTAAGCTAAAGTATGGCCTCTGTTTCTATAAAGTTCTGTACATAGTTCCCAAGCTTCTGCAGGGGGTGATCTTTGCTCTTGGCCTGAGAAATAACAGTGCTGTTTTAACAAACATTTGAAATAAATACCGCACACAAAAAAAAAAAATAGCTGGACATGGTGGTGTGCGCCTGTAGTCCCAGCTACTCAGGAGGCTGAGGTGGGAGGATCTCTTGTGCCCAGGAGTTCAAGGTTGCAGTGAGCTATGATTGTGCCACTGTACTCCAGCCTGGGTGACAGAGCCAGACCCTGTCTCTAAAATAATAAATAAATAATTTTAACAGTAACACATTAATCTGAAAATGAACCAAAAGTCTATTTTAGATTTGGAAAACGCCGTAATCAAAAGTAAGAAGCCAGTGGATGAGTCTAAAATTTAAAGCCAATGCACAGACGCAGGGAAAGAGAAATTATTCAACAAGAAAGTGCACCAGGAGAAACTACTCAGACTAGAACACGTGGTGACCAAAGATGGGGAATATCACAAAACATGAGAGAGATTTAAAAAGTCGAAATTGATTTACTAAAAATGCCAGAAAGACTAAAATTATCAAATGGGGTAGACGAAACAATTGAACAGATAATGGCTAATAATTTCCCAGAACTGATGAAAAATCAATTCACAGATTCAGAAAGCCCAGTGAATATTTAGCAGGATAAATAAAAAGATGCCCTGACCTAAACACAGCATACAAAAAGCGAGTAGACAGAGTTGCAAAAATGGACTATCTCCAAAGGAGAAAAGACTGACAGATGAATTCTCAAAAAATGAGAAAGGAGGCCTGAAGACAGGATGGACATCATCAAAGAAGGTGCTGAAATAATGGCCAATACTCAATAATGAAGTGAAAGAAAGACATTGTCATTCAAACAGTGACTGAAATTGTTTAACACCACAGACTCACACTAAGGGATCTTCTAGACAATGGGACTATGTTATGATTGGAACGTGGGGCATGAGCTACCTTGTTTGGTACAGATTCTCCCCACATTTCCACCCTAGATGAGAGGCAAAAATGCTGGAAGGAAGAGCAAATGAAGAAATATAAGAGTCAAAGTTAAGTTTCACGTTATGGTACAAAAACAATAATGTATTTTGAGATTAAAATATAGTATTAAAACTCATCAAGATAATGCTATGTAAGCTGAGATCAGGGTAAATGAAATTAAAAGTACTGTAAGGTCCATCTGAGTGTCTCAGCAAGGATAAAATTATTGATTAGCATAAGGGTGTGATTAGCTGTGGATGCATTCTGTCTTCTCAGAAGGAACACTTGAAGGTGGAGACATTTTAGTGAGAAATATAGATAATTTCAATTTGCTTTAAAAGGCATCCGCCCAGAAGTATTATTTAAATATTACCCCATGCATCCTTAACTACTCTCAGACTAAAGGATGCTATTGTCAAGTTGCAGTAAAAAATCTTGTTTATAATGATTTTTTTCTGTAGTTGGGTTTTGACGGCATCGGCCAGTTCCACAATACATGGGACAATGTTATTGGAAAGTGGGGCATGAGCTACCTTGTGTGGTACGGACTCCTCCCACATTTCCAGCCATCATCCCTGAAGTAGTCTTTCGCCAGTATCTCAGTAGTTGCATATGACATCGTCGTCTTATGCACCTAAATTGCTCCTTTATAAGAAGCCCCATAATGTGCCAATGTTTATTTGTGAAATACTGAACATCTGCTTCTGTTGGGCTTTTCTTTCAGTAACTCTTTTCTTCAGAGAATTCTGTTTGGCCTTTTTAAACTTAACTTGTTATGTTTTATATACAGATGCCACCAGAGTTTTGGTAACTTCATTGCTGTATTACCTAGTGCATCACTGCAAATAATATTCTCTGACTTTAGCACTTTACCGCTGATTTGGCTACCAAACTAATGACAGCATATGAAAGATCATACTTCCAAATAAAGCTGGTGAAACCTTTGGCCTTAATTTCTTTAGAATCACTCTCATCATTATCGTTACATTTACACTATACTACCATATTTAGGAAAGATTTACTGGACTTGATAACAAACAAACAACAACAACAACAAAAGGTTAGCAAAGCTTGTTCTACCATGAATGCATTGGGGAAAAAAGAAGAAACACAAATTTTACTTCTCTAATCTAGATAATAACATTAAAGTATACATTTAAAAATTAGGCTTGGTTAATGTGATGGTTAATATTGAGTGTCAACTTGATTGAATTGAAGGATGCAAACTATTGTTCCTGAGTGTGTCTGCTGTCACGGTGCTGCCAAAGGAGATTAACATTTGAATAAGTGGACTGAGAAAGGCAGATCCACCCTCAATCTATTCGAGCCAGCGTGGCTGGAATACAGCAGACTGGCTGAGTCTTCCAGCCTTCATCTTTCTCCCATGCTGGATGCTTCCTGGCTTCGAACATCAGACTCCAAGTTCTTCAGCTGTTGGACTCTTGGACTTACACAAATGGTTTGCCAGGGGCCCTTGAGCCTTTGGCCACAGACTGAAGGCTGCACTGTGGTCTTCCTTACTTTTGAGATTTTGGGACTCGGACTGATCCACCACTGGTTTCCTTGCTCCTCAGCTTGCAGACGGCCTATAGTGGGACTTTACCTTGTGATGGTGTGAGTCAATTCTTCTTAATAAACTCCCCTTCCCCATATACATAAGTCCTATTAGTTCTGTCCCTCTCAAGAATACTGACTAATACAATTAAGATTAAAGTGATTGTAAAAATAAAAGTTATAAGAGAAATAAATGCTCAAATATTCTTAGATTTTTATATACTATTTAGTTACTGTTGACTGATTAACCTTAAAAT